TGGCGTCTATTGGCTTTGAGATTTCATTTTTTCGTCTTGATACTATAAAAACGACTTTATCTTTGCGGATGCTGGGTTGCCCGCATGGAAGAAGAACATTTACTTAAGATTTTTGGCTTTGATATTCGAATATCATTCTTTGCCATAGTCTAGAAGGGCAGAGACCACATTAATTGAAAAATACATAATGAAGATATATCAAATTATCCAACAGGACAGTTTATTCAGTTTATTGACGGTCACTCGGTCCCTTCGATGTCTGTGCGCTTCGCCCAACACCACTGCCTATTTAAAACAATCAAACGGCAACTGGGAAAGCTCTGTGTCAAGTTATTTTGCTAAGACACCAAAGTGATTTTACGGCCTTGAAACTCAGTTTCCGCTGCTCGAGGTCGCTATTTACGCGCAGCAATATACGATTCGTGGCATCTTACGCACCCATTAGATCGGGAATTATTACGGCCCCACAATATCAGGGACCTTACACCGCGCTGTAAAAGGGCCTAACGTCCATTCTTTCTTATATTGCAAACTTTCACCACTTTTCTGACTTGATACATCGGGGTTTTATCTTTCGATTCGTTCTACAGATTTTTAGTAGTTTGCTGGATTACGAATGCGTGTACCTTTTTTTAAAAATATAATATAAGTACAAAGTTAACTGAAATGTATTAAAATATATAACTGGAAACAAAATGACGAGCGTGAAATAGGAATGTATAGCAGGAACGGATACTATCAAGAACCAACCATATTTAGTGCAGTCAAAGAACTGAAAGAAATAGTGTGAAAATGGGACGCCATGATGTTCCATAAGTTACAGTTCGAAAATAAACTTAAAGTTGGTCTGGTGCTTTACAAGAACACTTTTGTCCGTGAAAAAATGCAACTGTCTATAGCTGTGTTCTTCGAAGTCACTCGATGGGCCTTCACTGGTTATAGACGAGGGCTTATATAGTCTGCAACCTCAAGAGGCGCGTGATAAAGAGGTGACTTTAAAATTGTGTTAATAGTCTTCTCGCTCGTGTCGTACAGTCATTTTATCCTCAGTAGTATTCCACAGATAATCAATCATCATCACTATCACCATCGTCCACTTTGGGCACCCATAAAATTTTTATATTTTATACGGTATTATCCTTTTATTTACATTTATTCGTTTCTGACGGAGTGTACAGTACAATGTTATAAAGCACATAAGGAGTACTAGAAGGATTAATCAGATTTTTAAGTGTGTGAAGGGTGCATTAAGCTTTGGAATATATATGATTTTACAGAGTAGTAAGGTGTTATGGTGTACTCCTAACCCAATTACTAGGTAAAATCTCAGGCACGTATTGTACCGATGATTCTGCTGCTGTATGAGGCAGCAACGAGGGGTTCAGCTCCTTAGTGGATCTTTCAGCACTCCCTGTGTCCTTTATACTAGAATGCTGGTGCACCCACTGGTGGGTCGAACGTCTCACAGTTGTTATATAGTGGCAGGATAGCGGTGAAACACGCATCGGGGTTTTTATCTAGTACTCGTGATGTCATTATGGTGTATCACGTAAAAGGATATATAAACTCGGAATCTCCGAATTCCATATTATTTTTAAAGCGCTAATTATTTGCTTCTGGTGGACCATATAGGTGTCTGTAGGATGGCCTAAGCCAAATTCCTCATTACTGACAAACTCATTCTTCTCGGTCCCTTCTTGGGACTTGTCATTTCGCTTGTAGGATATATACCTGAGGTAGCAGATATCTCGCCGTTGGTACAATAGCAGAAAGGCAAAGTTTTCGTGAAAGCTGCTCTGCAAGGTGTTAAGTACGCAGGCAGGCGCAGAACATGCCTTTACAACAGAAAGCATTAACGCCTCTTACCTACTCTTTAACTCCTAGCTCAGTTAAAAACACTAGAGCTTATGGAAGAGATATGTTGCTTTGCATTTTGTTCGAACTACTTTTTTGTGTGAAGGCAAACGCATGTTTGTTCAGAGACACTTCTTTGCCCTGCACCCGTTCAGTCTTTTATGCCATCTTTGGCTGGATCATATGACGTTAAAGTGAAGCACAGAAATGGTTTAAACTTTCTAAACTGCAACCGCCGGCCGTAAAATATTTGTTGAATACATGCCACGTATGATGTACAATAGTTCTCCCGACGGCAAAAGTGGCACTAATTACTAGACGAAAAACAGCGAGCAATTCAATGCAAGTGTGAATAAGTCGTGCGAAGTTGTTGGCCTAGTCTCACCACTTATAATATCTATTAGATTTAAACACTACAGGAATGTTGCTTAGAGTTAAGAGTTCTGCAAAGTCAGCTGTTTGCGAGCTTAAAGAGGTTCGCCGGTGGCTCTCAGTCCCATTTCACACGCTGCAAGTTTTAACAAGATTTCGAGAGTTGTCGTTGCCACAAAAAACCATAGAAACTCCTAATAATACGTCCATTGCAATGGTAGTGGTTGTAGGGAATCTCGAATCATACTAAATATTTGTACTGTTTTGGCAGAATTTCGTGGGTGGTCTACATTGCAGCAGTTACCGCAAGTATAAATATTTCGGTGTTTATGTGGTTTATGTGCTCATTAGCTATTGATCTGCAAATGTTACATGATTAAATATTTGAGGAAGTTTACTCACCCATATTTTCTCGATGATAACCCAATATTGCCTGATAGGAAATATTCAGTGGTTTATAGTCTAAATTTTCCAATTATAGTAAGTAACCGATATGGACCAAGTCAACGTCTCGAGTCAACGTTTTCGAATAATACAATCTGATCCGTTGCAGGCAGGTATAATTTACTAAATAGCTCCATTATTTCATCTAAAACTGATAAGCACGCATTGATTTAAAGTGTCGAATAAGGCTTTTACAGGTCTGGCAGCAATTTTCCATGAATAATAGGGTTAAGCACTACCAAACTTCAGCTGAGAACCACAGGCTCATAGGCGAAACCACTAACAAGCGCATTCATTATGTACATAAAATGCTACTATACAAGCAAAAGCTAATCAAAGACGTTTGCCAAGTTCCAGATGCCTTAGTCGCCCCAGTTAGTGGCGCGAAGTGCGTGTCTGGATCTTCTTAAAATGCATTTTGCGTAGTTTAGTTTAATGTGAACCCGACAGGAACCTGTTAGGACTGGTGTCAGTCAACTATGATGATATTTCAACGATAGCCCAAGGCTCATGTGATTTAAGAGACATGCTCAAGCATGAATATGCATCTTCTGTGGTAGAATTTACAGTTTACACGAGCACGGTGGTGCCCTTTCTATCTAATTTGTCAGGGTAGGATTTTGGTTGGTTTGTTTTTAATCATTCGGATTAATAGTTTATAAGATGGACATAGTGACAAAAACTCTAGTGATGGCTTATTGTCAAGTATCCATGCTGTTTTGCTCCAAACGTTCGCTGATCTGCTTCCCCTGTCGGTGCTTCTGGTAGAAGCCTAAATATTTTTGCATATATCTTACTAAAGCGTTGCTCTACTGTTAGTATCTTGATCAACTTCTATAATTTCAGAAGATAAGTCAGCGAGAATACGTTTGTTTTCGATAAATTCTCGTCAGGCCTATATCGTAATTAACTAAATAAACTATGCGGGTTTGGCAGAAATAATAGTGCAATTGTCAGGGTAGTTGGTGGGGGGGGGGATAATTGGGGTCAAAAATCTGATCATCGTTAGGGGGCCTGGTGATAAGCTGTAGGCTGTTAGATTAGTGACTTCCGGCCAAGCTAATATATTGGTCACAAGAGCCGGTGTTTGTCCAAAAGAGTACGAGAGCACGTTCCATCGTGGTTAGAGAAGGACCAAATGAGGGGTGTAAACAGTTCCATTCTAGCGCACC